CGGTGCGGGGATTCCGCACCAGATTACTATTCGTAGCCTCTTCCGATCGCATGAGTTGTATCAATCGATCGTGCAGAGGTTGGCATGCTCCCAAACCAGATTCAACACTCTATTAGGGAAGGTAATTACTCAGCAGTTGTCTCAGAAGACACACAAACCATGCAACAGAAATAGAAAAACATAACCGAACAGTGCTCAGTAGTCATTCACTAAGGGAGGGTAACTACCCATCAATGGTCTTGGAAGAAACATGAACTAGGAATTATGCAGGAAACTAGACATACATTACCAAACTATATTTTAACAGCCCATTGATAGTATAAGGTTACTTCTTACAATTAATAACCACTTTAGAGTAAGGTGCTCGAACGCGCTACGCAACCGCCACTATGCAGAGTTACAAAAGAGGGAATCTCCTGGCATCAAGGCCTTCCCCCAGAGAGACCCTAAAATAACGTGCTGAAGCGCGAATCGCGACGCAACCGCTCACACGTACGGTAAGTTCTTCTGCCTTGTTGCAGTTCAACGCTTGCATGGTGATTTTGCTTCTCAAGAATCCTCGAGCATTTTTTTGTTGGACTAATAGGATGAGTTCATTTATATCTCTCGAAAATTCAGAGCTATGGTGGAAAGAGAACTAGTGAAGTCTGAGGACTGTGAAACAACATCGCTCCCAATTACAGCCTTGTGCATAGTTTCAGATAAAAACAAGTGTCCTAAAGGCTTCACTCCGGTAAGTTTTTTTCACCTCCTTTTCATTTTCTTTTTACTCGTTGCTTCAATTCATTGAGAAGGCTCTTCATCGATAATGGTATATTATAAATGTGGAGATGATAGTAAGTAATCCTTTCTCGCACTGTCGCATAATTCGAAAAACGTGCTGCTTTAACCGAATCACTTCTCAAAATAATTTGTTCTCTTCTCAGATGGTGTATTTGTAAGTCTTCTAGTTTAAATCGTCCGTTATCCTCACCTCTATCTGTACGACTCTTTTATGGATTGTCCCGTTATGTTGGAACCTTTTGTTCTCTCGAATTTCTCGGTGCTTATTGTGCTCTGAGCGAATCGGAACCAAAGTCTTTACTCCTGTTATTAAGAAATTTGCGCTGTAGTAATAAAACAGAAGTGGACGGTTAGAAGGTACCGGTATCAGTTCTTCAGGTAGTTTTGCTTGAGTGGAAATGCCGTCGTGTTCACACTTTTTTTTCAATAAGCGTCCAATCTCACAAGGGATGGATACTTGACCGCAGTCGCCATTCAAAATGAAATGTACACTGAGCGAAATCGATGGTTCATAAGCTGAACATCCTTTTATTGAATACAGTTATGATCGTTGAAGATCACCCGATGTCATGATGACGGTACCGATGCAGATCTATGGCGTGAAAGTGCGTTTTCTTTGTGGTCACGTCCTGTACGATATTTGGCGATTAGTCGCGAGGTGCCCGAAGCAGCAATCAGGGTAAGTCTCTCTGAATTTATCATGATCTCCNGAACATCCTTTTATTGAATACAGTTATGATCGTTGAAGATCACCCGATGTCATGATGACGGTACCGATGCAGATCTATGGCGTGAAAGTGCGTTTTCTTTGTGGTCACGCCCTGTACGATATTTGGCGATTAGTCGCGAGGTGCCCGAGGCAGCAATCAGGGTGAGTCTCTCTGAATTTATCATGATCTCCCACTATAAGCACTTCCTCCCTCATTGTAAACATTTTTGTCCCCATATCATCATATTACTGTAAAAGACTAAAAAGGATAAAGGATAAAGTTTTTGGCGTCAATCAATCCCGTGTGAGGGATGTGCCCCGCACTCGACTTCCATTCAGAATCGTAGTGGCGTAATAAGTGTGAATGTGGCCTATAGAATGACTTGCGGAAACCAAGTGAGTGCTTTTATCCTAACAGACTAGTCTGATGCCAATCCAACGACACCGGAGGGATGGAAGGCTTGGTCGGCCTAAGCAGGTATCGATCCAGTACTGGAACCCCTGACCGTACGTGTGAGATAGGTCGCCACTTGCCCCTACACCACCTCTGCCCGTAAGGCGGATAGTTATACTTCAGCAATTGATAAATAGGTTTTGACAGCGCCCACTTCAGTGGTGTCCTTAACTGATAGCGTAGCCCTTATAGCCAACGACCATCTGCAGTAAATAACGTACTGTGAGCTTTGTATGAATAGTATTGTTACCTGATGGTTCCTAAAATCAGCCGTGTGAGGCGTTTCTGATCAGCCTTAATGTCCAGTGATATCAGAATTGGTTGCAGGATTTCGCGCGTCACAATGGAACCGCCTAATTTTTAAATGCAGTAACACGAAGATTTATGAACAAGGGGATACTGAATTCAATCCACCAGTCGAGCTCACATTGTCTTGATTGCATTTGTATGGAGAAGTGAAGGGAAATACTATGATGTAAATCAAAAAAATATGTCTGTATGAATTCGAATAATATAAAATGAATATAATCTTGTCTCAGAAGGGGAAAAAATCCAATTCTCTCTTAAAACTACTCTAGGGTCGTGACGCTGCATGCTCACGACAACAGGCATAAATCCTTAGAGGGAGGCCATATAATGATTCTTTATAGTTTTGTAGGGCAGTATTATACTTTGGAGTAACAGTGACCACAGATATGTCTGCAGAAGGAGCAGACCTGAACCCAAGGCAGATGACCTTCCTGGGCTAGGTCAGTCTTCCACGTCGAAAGTTTCAACGGAACTGATTAAATCACTCCACCACCGTGCGATATGTGACAACATCAGGAGTTGACGCAGAGCAGATGCTCCGACTACGCTGTGGACCAATCGAAACTCATGTGTGCGTGCATAGCGTGACGTAAATGATTTTTTTATCTACCATTACCTTTTTTAGGGAAGCAGCTGCCTAATCTGACATAAGCAAGATCTTGGCAAAGTCACTTAATCTCTTTTGCGCGAATATTTTATCACAGTCAAATTACTTACGATTAAGACTGATCGAAAACCACCTTCTCAGTATTACGGGATCAATGTAACGAAACACAGCTTTCGCTCGGATTTATTTTTCTGGTTATTTATACTGAGCCAGTATCATTTTTAGGGTTGTTCGGGAAGTGCTCGCCGAATTTGGTTGCACTTAGATAACCAAGTCTTTTGAAAAAATCTTTTATACAACCTCCACCCATAGATTCTCTCTGCACGTGAACAGTTCTTTATATTTCCTTCTTAACTGTGTCAAGATTTCGTTACTTCTGTTTGCGTGGAGCCGGTGTGAAAGTGTGGGACTGTTAAAGGCATTTTCGACACTAAATGCTTTCCATCTACCAGAAATGCAAAAGTGCAGAGGATTTGCAAAACTTAGACAGGGGAAGTCACCTTCGGAAAACGACAGCGGTTGGGAAAACCATTGTCAGTTGATAATGGCCAAATCAGCATTTTAATCGACACAAACTGCGCATAACTATTCGTAGAATAGCGGAAAGTGGAGTTGTGTCATAACCTACTCACGACTATCTGATGAAAGGTTTGATAGCCGACTTAATGTTGTCGTTTGATGTTTGTTGTTTGCATGTTTGCGTCCTACGAAAGTGGGACTGTGAAACTTTTCAAGAGGGTGCGAGGCATTGTTGTCGTCTAATAAATCAAACCCTTCCCTTAAAGCCGACTCAAAAGTCGGCGGGAACTTGTCCAACATCTTTTGAATTGCCGCTTTTGCTCTTCACTTCATTTCCATTCGAACTAGATCGTTACAGGGAACAGTCTCAGTTGTGACGGATATCACAGTAGTGAAAGACACAGATCCAATACCACATGGATTTATTGCTATCGACTATTGCGCAGACTCGCGTGAGTGAATACTTCATAGTTTATCCCTGTCCAAACCTAAAGAAATATGAAAATACATAATTAGCAGATTATAATATTCTGTTAGTCTGTTTCTAATACCTCTCCTCTTGCGCTGAAACATGTTCTTATTTGCATATCTTCTTGCTATTTTAACAAGAAAGCTCTACTGAAAACGAAAGTGCTAGTATACGCCAGTGGTGCAAATATCTTCATAGCATGTTGTTGAATTGCTGCGCTAAATTGCTTGTTCTGTGAAGCTCTCTTTTTAAAGTTAATTTGAAAAAATGATGACAACTACATAATAGAAAGTCAGTTTTATATGGAAGGCTTTTTGTTTTCAGGTGAAAAGTCGTTACGGAAACGATTTATTTGCGTGAAAACAGAGCCGCGTGACTCAGTTGTCGACGCAGTTGGAGAAGTGATTATCCTGAATAAACAGAAGAAAACTCCGCGAAATTTCACACTGGCTGGGTATGCTTGCGATTACGTTGTTTTCCTCTTCTCTGCTTGGAACATTTTCCATAAGTTCATTCTGATATCAGCGTAAGCATGAGAACATCAATCTGAGATTGCAGTGAAATAGATGGCGCTTCTCTTTGCTTCCGTGTAGTTGTGGTTCCTACCGCATTCGGTTTGGGACGCTGTGCGAGGTGTGCTCAATTTGATGCCTTTTTTTTTACTTCTATTGAACAAGATTACTCTTTTATAGCGATCATGGCTTGTCAACTAACACTGAGAAATCATTGCCGCCTCCCCCGATTGGCCTTTATCCTCAACTAAGACCGGGATCGATCCCGTCAAAGCTGGACCAACAACCAGATGTAAATACGTTAACGATAAAGGTGCCGTTGTGTGGTTCTCGTATCTTGTGTTCAGTTTGGTTTTCATGTTCCTTTTTTCTTGCGGTTATCCACTCGGGTAATTTGAAAAGTATCGATTATCTAAAAGCACACTCCACGATGAAAGCTGTTTCTGCCGTACTCCCCTAGGATGAATCTGTGGCACATAATCCAGGTAATCCATATGTGGCTAACAGATCGAGAAATACCCTAGATAGGGAGTAATAAAAAGTGCACTCATTATACGCCTCTCCAAGAGGTGGGTACTGTGTCTTGGAGGCCTTGATTAGGTTGCACGATTCACAATGAAGTACGCACATTAAAAATTCGAACATCTAGTGACCCATGGCGACAGCGCAGCAATTGGAAGTCTTGGCTCTTCGAAACCAACTCTACACAATACATAGCACACAACTGCCGCTCGTCTAAATGCCCCTTCCATGTCGAATCTGCCTTAATCTCATACAACCCCCACTATGTTCCTTTTTTTAAAGCCTTTCCTCCAAATCACCCGTCTCGCTCTCATGCTTCTTTCTCCTTGGACTATTCCACACAGCAGCTTCCATTATTTCGATTACCCTAAGTATCTCGAAGCATCGAAATCTTCAAGTAATGTTTTTGAAATATACCATCACGGCTTTGGAGATGTTTGACAATTTTTCAATCGAATCTTCCCATTGCTGGTCTTCTCTGCTTATATATATATATATAT